TTTCTACTTCTTCTTCTATTTGTGTGATTGTTGATTCTCTCTTGTTTCTGTGAACAGCTGCAAATCGCTGCCGCAGCTTCCGTCACCGTAGCCATCTCCGATGATGATGATCATCATCGTAATCATCAAAGTAGTCGTTGGAAACGTGTCCCTTCCTGCTCCTCGATTGTTTACACTACATCTTATCTCGTGTAAACACGACGAATCCGTCTGCATTCACATGGCTGCAATCTGCGCCCGGTCTCCTCGTCTATCTTCCACTCCATTCCCATTTTCCATTCTCGAACAGGCTAAAAATACAACCGAAAGGAAAAATAATGTTCGATCCATACCAATTTTCCTCAATCCTCATTTCATTTGATACAAATAAATATAAAAAACGAACAAATCCTGATAAACGATAATCAGAACATCCATGAATTGAAATTATGTTTTTTTTTTTGTCTTCCCAATTCGAGTTACGTAAGTTTCCAAAAGCGACATTGTCATGCAAATGTGTTGATTTGGTTGGACGTGCGCAAAAATTTCGACTTTTCGCGTTTCGCAATTCCCATTTCGGAAAGCCTTGAACAATTTTGCATTGCTAAATAATTGTATAAGTCAATTGCAATCTACGGTAAGTAGATTTTCATTTTGCAAATATTTTGGTTAAAAAGATAAGAATTTCAGTTTCTCCCTGTTTATCTATCAATTTCTCGAAAGTCACGTAACTTTGGCGCATTTTTAGTGTCGCGTAAGAAGGGCGCCACCCTTACGTAACGTATTACGCAAGAGAATGTTCGTTACGTAACCGATAAACGACGATTTTTTTTTTGCGAATTGCTCAATTACATTTCATAATTGTTGCTTCGCCTAAGCTTCGAATAAAAAAAAAACCTTTTACCAGAAACGAAACATTTTGGAAACTTTGGCGCATTTTTATTGTCGCGTAAGAAGGGCGCCACCCTTACGTACCGTATTACGCAAGAGAATGTTCGTTACGTAACCGATAAACGACGATTTTTTTTTTTTGCGAATTGCTCAATTACATTTCATAATTATTGCTTCGCCGAAGCTTCGAATCCAAAAAAAAAGAAAACCTTTTACCAGAAACGAAACATTTTGGAAACTTTGGCGCATTTTTATTGTCGCGTAAGAAGGGCGCCACCCTTACGTAACGTATTACGCAAGAGAATCTTCGTTACGTAACCGATAAACGACGATTTTTTTTTGTTTGTGAATTGCTCGAAAACTGCTTAAGATAATTACAGCATTTTATAGTGAAATTCAAGTGCAAAATGACGAGTTTTTTTTTCTTAAAAACTAATAATTGAATTTTTATAGTGTATCTTGTGTAGCGAGAAGAATTCTCTGTCGCTTCGGAGGAGTTAAATGAGGTGGATGCATTTAATTGCCAAAGAATGGTTAATCTTCGAGGAAAATCTGTCCGTTCCAAATCTCTTTCCCTTTTTTTTTCTTTTCTTTTCTTTTCTGAAATCTCCCTCTGAGCCTCGTGGTTCCTCGAGAGATGCAGTGAGATATATAACCACTTGAAGATTTCTGAAGGACCTGTCAAAAAGGTTCGTCGTAGGGAACAATTGGGTTCATTACTTGTTTTGTGTGAGCGAACAGAAGAGAGTGTTGTTAGCCTCTTTTTTACTCTCTCTCTCTCTCTTTCTCTCTCTCACACATCTCATACATACCGTGAAAAAGAGTGAAAGAGAGAGAGGCAACAACCTGTCCCATCAACAACAATGTTTGTAACTGTAAGAATGAATGTGTAAGAGTGAGAAAGATAGAAGGGTGCGGCGGTTAAAAAAAAAGAGAACTTCGACCGGGTCGGGTGGGGAATTTGCATTTCAATGGGTCTGTGCGGTCGAGGGAGAGGCGTTAAGAGGGTTCGCAGGTTGCGTATAGCTGTAAAAAAAAAAGGAACCATTTCACCCTCGTCGAAGAAATACAACACCGATGGACACAAATAAATATCTACTACTATACACACACATAAACCTGTGGAATCAAGTGTCTTTCGTGGAAATTCTCCACCAGAAATCGCTTTTAGCTAACGCCTCACCTCACAATAAACTTTTCTTACAACAAATTGCTTTGCCTCATAAATATTTCAATACAATTTTATTTACAAGCTCTTAACTTTAAAAGATAACAGTCGATTTTTCTATACAAATTTCACACCTTGCTTAATTCTCTACACTTTGTTCTTTCAATTACGACTTTAATATTCAATAAAACCTTATTAGTTTTCAAATATTTAAATAAAATGTGTGTGTGTTGAGAATTATGGCAATCCTGAGGAATGATGGTAACTGGATGGGTGTCGTCCTTTTCAGGGCTAATGTCTTGTTGATGAAGTGGGTGCCCTTTGTTACAGAAGAAAAGGAAGAGAAGAAAGTCAGAGAAAAGTGCACACATGGATGTGGGTGTCCACTTTTTGTCCTTTGTGTCGAATCACTTTACACGACCATCGACAATGGTCCGTGAATGACAGCAACAGGGGAGGACAAACCCATTGTTCCACACACTCGAAACACGATGACTTCAGAGAAACTCTTCTTTGCCAAAGTTAAAATATTGATAATGAATTCAACATTAACACCCAAATGTATTTAACTAAACTAAATAATTTCAAACTTAAAGTAAAATAAAATTGCTCAAGAAATTTGATG